TTAATAACTTTTGATCTATTGATTTATTTAAAATAATTTAGCTACCAAAATGTTTGTCTTAATAAGATAATTAAAATCATCAAAATCTAATTACTGGATCCTGATATTTTTCAAATTTTATGCAATTTTAATTAGAATTTTACTATGTAGACAATCAACTTAGAAAATGGGTTGCTTATATAAATTTATATAGGCAACCCATTTCTAAGTTGATTGTCTACATAATAAAATTCTGAAAAATATTAGAATCCAGTAATTAGATTTTGATGATTTTAGGCTCATTTTAATCATCTCATTAGGACAACATTTTGGTAACTAAATTATTTTAAATAAATAAATAGATCAAAAGTTATTAACAATTCCATAAATTAGCACATATGACGAACTTTCTTAGCTCTAATTCAAAAAATGGAATCAGTAAAAGACGATCATGATCAAATGCAATCAGGAAACCAGATCTTACAAACTTATATTAACAATCTAATGTCTTCTAATGTGTTGACTTCTGGGAATGGTGGAAAGAAAGATGGGTAACTTTATTATTATTGACTGTTACCTGGAAAAAATAATCTCGCTACAATTAATATAATATTAATGCATATAATAGTTAATATTAAAAAATTACTATTTAATAAAGACATTTCATATGAGTATATTGATGATTCTCAAGGTTGGTTTTAAAACTACGAGTTATTTGTAAACATTTGGGATCCGCTTAATAGGTAATCCACCAATTTTCGAGTGTAAGTGTAGTAACATCTGAATCGAATAGTCCAAATGGTGCTAAAACGGGTTCATCGTTAAAACATTCAACGTCAATAAAGTGGCCAACCAGTACATGTTCCATCAAAACAATCAATAATCAATCAATACAGTATGGAAAGAGAAATAATATTAAAGATCTTGTGATTGACATCAGAAATTTAAGCAAGAATTCTTCTTGATGAAAATTCAGCGACGAATAATGAATCAACCTATATAAATTTAAACCTTTCACCAGTTCAACCAGTTAGTTTAAATTTTCCTAATACAAGTCAAGAAATTATAAGTGAAGAAAGTACCGATAGTATAGTAATAGAATCTTCGGAAATTAAATGAATATATATATTATCTTTCCGAAAAACGATATATTTTTCAGAGTAGTTGCAAACATCACCATTTATTTTTTTTATTTTACGTAGTAAGATATCTATATACACATTTGTTTAATTAAATGTATATAACGATAATATATCCGAAAAAGGTAACACAAATCGAAGAACGTAACAGTACGTAGAGTTGGATTTTAGTAAATAATGATAAGCATTCGTACATATTCTGGATTTTTTTTTTTGAATAACAATAAAGTTAAGGTTTTTTGCCCCCACCTAATAAAAGAATGTCGTTTTTAACCAAATACAAGTCACTATCATTATAGTAAACTCGATATAGTAAAGATTCGCTATAATAAAGAATTTTAATTTACAATATTATTAAACTTTAGCTCGATATAATACTATAAATAACGATAAGCTATAGTAAAGAATTTTTAAGACTTCATTATAACGAGAGTCACTTGTATATTTATTTTTTTGTCGATAAATTATATTAATTTATTTTCTAATTAAAATTTTATTATCCGTAGTCAATCAATTAGAATCATTGTCTCTGATCAATATAACTTTTTTCAAATAAAAATTCGACCCCTATATGATTATATAATTTGCATTGCATGATGCGATTAATAAATTTACTCTTTTAGAAAACTTAAGTAAATTATATTTGTACTTTTTAAATAAACTTGTTTTATTTGTTTCTAACTTTATTATTAGTTTTTAAACTATAATTTATTAAATTAAATACAATTTTAAAAATTTTATATAAAAAATATTTTTTGCAACTTTTTTTGTAAAAATATTGCTAGTTTATTTAAAATTTTATATTGAATTAACAAATTGAACATATAAGTAGTCTCGAATTACAGAGTTGACGAAAAATAAAGACCTCAAGTTACATTATGCAATAATTACGATCCTAAGCATGAAAAGGTTTATAAACATTACATTTCATCTCTCGCTATATCAAAAAATAAACAAATTACGTATAATTGAAAATTGATAATACCACGAATTTTTATCATCTTGTCGAAAAGAAAGATACGAATATGTTTAAAACAATAAAACCTTTCAAGGAAATGTAGTCTACTTCACGTTCTTCTAAAGAGAATTAAGAGAAATGTTAGAGTTTACAATGTATTCCCACTCTATTGAATGTAATAGAAGTAGCGAATATCATTAACATTAATGCTAAAGTTGGTTAGTATGAATGCAACGAAAAAAAAGCAAGATTATAGAAAATGAAAATAATACGTATTGAAAATTCAGCACATATCTAAAAGATTCATAAACGAAAATAAATGACTGAAATTCATAACTTCGGATTTGCAATTTTGCAATTATGAACATAATTTCATTATTTTTCTTAGCCTTCTTTTAATCGTATCACTTTAGATAATTCTTATAACATAAATCAGCGCGATCTTCAATTCTAATATAATAAATTATTAAATTATTAGAAAAAATATTTAAAATAAAATCCAATAGCTTCTTTCGATTCAAATTCTAAATTGTTTCTCTAAGATCGACTGGATAACAAGTACTCACAATAAAAAAATTGAGAAGTGTAATTAAAGTGATTCTCCTCGATCATTTCGCTAATTTATGGTCATGTGATCCTTCGTAATTTAGTCTTGCTGTGAGTGTCGGTCCTGTTTTGGGCTAAAAATAAATAAAGAATAAAATTAATACAATATAATTATCATGCCTTACACTCGTTTATCCCTATTTCTAGTTCATCCTACTTGAGCAGCGTGACTTATGACATGATGTAAATATCATATCATATTTATGAGAGCTCATTTCTTCATGCCTTACACTCGTTCATCACTATCGGCTGTTACCCCCTCTAGTTCATCCTACTAGAGCAGCGTACTTATGACATGAAGCATGTAAAAAAAAAACATATAACAATAAGACACTCACCATTAACAAAATTAAAAAAAATTTTCTTGATTTCACTAAATTTATGGTAGTGTGATCCTTCGTATTAGTCTTGCTGTGGTTGTAAGCCTTTCTAAAAGTGTTAGTCTTGCCACGGGTGTTGATCTTGCTGTAGTTGTTGGTCTTTCTCAGGTGTTGGTCTTGCAGTAAGAGTTGAAAATATAGAAAAACAATTAATATTCTAATATTATATCATACCTTTTACTTGTTCTTCCCTATGCCACGATGTATGATAAAACAAATATATTTCAATGAGAAAACACAATATCGAGGTGTAAATAAAAAATCTATTCTCTTGGTTAAATTTAATGATTTTGTAAAATAAACGATGGTGCTACTTTTTTTTTATTTATACAAAAAAAAAAAACGTGCTAATCCAGTTTTAAAAAGCAAGCACGTGAGTTATACAAACTCCTAAAAGGAAATAGCCATCAGAAAATGTAAATTTTAGCTATTCCATCTGAACGAAAACCTATCTCTGACACTTTTTTATCAATTTCAAGATTTTCGGTTCAAATTATGTATTTCACTTTTTACCCTACGTTAATATAATAATTTATTGCTTGAATGTAAACCAATTTTTTAACGTTCGTATTCTAAAAATAGATTTACAACCAAACGACTCAATTAAATTAGATTAGTCAATCAGTGTTTCATAATCACATGACATTGTTTATTCAGTAGTGTTTGTAGTCGATTTTGCATTAGTCGATAAATCGGCTTAGCCGGCTTAGTCGATTTTTCAAAAAATCGACTTAGGGTGTTCTCAATGATCGGAAGATCAGTTTCTAATTAATTAAAAATTGATTTCCGATCCATTGATTTAGCTATGATTGAGGTGTTTGAGAACACCCTTAGTCGTAGTCGAGTTGATTTTATGTTAAAAACTACAGTAACCACTCAGTCATAGTAGAATCTCGACAAATTCCGAAAAGAAAATAAAATACGAGCAAGTTTGAGACAAAAATTCGAGATACATTCCGTAAATAGGATTTAGGATAATCGACTCTGACTTAGCTGGCTAAGCCGATTTTAAATATCGACTTAGTCAAGTCGATAAATAATGGTCGACTACAAAGACTAGTTAGCAGTTAGATTAAGTACAAATCTGTTGGTTATAAAAGGTTTATAAATTATAATTTTATATATAAACATATGCTAAGTTAATAGCTAGATTTTTTATTAGCACCTACTTGTGCAATATATTTATTTATAAAAATTTATATTTCAGAATCTTTTTTGTTTTTTTACAAAGTTGGTACGAACAATTTTACATAAATTTTGTACATGCTTGCAGAAGCTTCATAGAGCCGCACGGCTTCTTGATAAATTTGGATGATGCTAGACACATCAAATGTAATACTGTTCAAAACACTCGAATTAAAAAATATACTGATATATATATATATCTTTATATAAATTGGATCATAATCACTAAATGCATGTTGATTTCAGACCAATAATATTTCAAATGGTTCAAAAAATATTTACAATTAAAACACCTCAATAAACTCGCTAAAAAATTCGTTAATAAGTTAGGAAGAGAGCTCGAACTTGAAATTATAAGAATTCTAATGAGGGTAAGTATTCGATGTATAGGCACCGTAGTACAGGGACGTGTGGATCTTGCGATTTACGGTGTTTCTAAGGAATTTACACTTATAAAATCTATCCCTTCGTCTGTAGATTTTCACATGCTACTATGTTTTTCCAGGCAAATTTGCCTGGAATACAGTTTAAGGATAAGTTTCTATTCCTTAAATCGCAGCAAATCACAAAATCCATACGTCCCTGCCGTAGTATTATTATGTAAGTCAGGTGATGGAGGCACTGTATTGTGAAGTCCGATTTATGTCGCAATTTCGGGACTTGTGAAATAAATTGGAGGAAGTAATGTTAATAAAATATTTGCGCGTAACAAACAATATGGATTCGAATTTAAGTACTGTACAAACAAATTCAGGTACGACGTTATGACAAACACGCTTTTCATTGGACGATGCAGCATTTTCAATATCCTCCATTATTCGCTTTTGACCCGATGCTTGTAAGAATTCCGTAAACTTTTGTTCCGAAAATATTGTTGTTTCCAAGAGTCGACGTCTTTCAGCAATTTGCAGATCAATACTTCGTTGATAAAACTTCTCACAGCCTTGGAGAACAATGGCACCTTCAAAAGTGTCACGCAAAAGCTGAATACACATCCTGGAATAGTTTTATTCAAGTTTTTAGAAATAAATTCAAGAGACTGTCGCCACTCGTATATTGTAGACCACGGCAAATAGTTTCGTCAAGTCTTAAACGAAAGCTCAGATAATGTTTTAGTTGCCAATGTTGGGCTAAAACCTCTTTAAAATAAGAGTGAGGTATTTTTTCTGAGGTAGATACTTTAAACTCTAAGAATTTGAGAGATCTAAGAACTGCGGTCATATTCGTAAGTCTAGTTCTGTAGTTACGCGTTTTGATAATTCAAATTTTAGAGTTTTTCATAAAAATGCAGACCAATCAAATTTGGAGAATGCACAAACATAAACCTCATTTCTGTTATGCAAGCTATACTATACAAATTATGAGAGTGCAACTATGCCGAAGCTACTCGTATCTGCTCCAGTCAATTGGCGGCGGGTGCTTCCCTTGGTATACATTTACCGCGGAGACGCCGTACTTCATGTCTGCTCCAGTCAATTGGCGGTGAAGTATGAGTTGCTTGGTGACTAACAACTGTTCATGTCTGCTCCAGTCAATTGGCGGCGGCAGTTGATCTACTGACTACGCTGAAGTTACTCGTATCTGCTCCAGTCAATTGGCGGCGAGTGCTTCCCTGGTGTACTGTATATTTACCCTGGAGACGCCATACTTCATGTCTGCTCCAGTCAATTGGCAGTGAAGTTATGAGTCAGTTGGTTTTCAAGTTATCTCTTAGTAGTCACCAGCCTCAAGTTTGTATCATACACATTTAATAGCACACAGTTAAAATTTAGAAACATCAATCTGAGCCAAGTGATAATATGTTATATAAAATAATAAATATGTGTTTCAGGTCTCTCGTAATACTAAATTTGTTATCCACTCACGTATTCCTTTTCTATAGCCGTTCCGTCTATAATATCACTTTCGCATTCTAGCTCCGTCTCACAAATAAGCTATGGTAAGCCTTGTAAGGTGGTTCGGATAAATTTTACATGCGGAATTATTACGCTAACGAACGTGGACAAATAATGTATAACAATAACGATAGATTTTGTTTAAACTATCACCAAATCGCTAATTCAGATTTATTTTTATTTGACGTTAATAATTCGAGAATTATCACATTCACATCGCTTATATATTTCATCTGCTACTTTTTTGCATGTATTACATTCGTCACAAACCTTACACCCGTGCTTCCACCCTTTAAAGATATGTCACTTTTCGATATAATTTTGACTTTTTTTATTTGTAAGTGTATTATTATGTTTTTTCATCGTTGTATATTAACAAAAAAAAAATAATACGTATATACGTGGCTAAAATTTTTGTAATATGTACTGCAGACAAATTATGCATAACAATAATGATATGTAAACCTCGTAAGGTTAAATCATCCTACATCGACATATGGATAATTCATTTCAGAAAAACTGATATTACAAATTACAAATAAATTATACTTAAGGCCACACCAATTTGATTTTCTGTTTAACATAACCCTTCCCCCCTTCTTTTTAAAATATTTATATAATATAAAAAAAACATTATATATATAATAACCAATAGGAAGTTAGTATTTTAATTATAAATATTTAGCGCTAAGTAAACATCTTAGTCTACGTATCATGTATTTATCAAATGCATCCATAATAGAGATAAAAATACAATGTAAAAAAAATTAAACATTATGATTCGAACAAATATAGTTTCCAATTCGTGAATAATTGATCCATAAATTCTAATATTGCGAGCTTATGATAATTTAATTTACATTCCATAAGACTTTTAAACTTAAAGTTAAACAATTAATTGGTTCAATAAACAATTAGATAAATTATCAAGCAATAAATGATCTTACTTCTTTTATTTCCAACGCTTTGAGTGCAACAGTGCTATTTGATTTACGCGCTCTTATATAATTATTATCACCGCCATCAACTTTTCGTATGCCATCCAACCAGGTTGCTTTATATACAGTGCCAAATCCTCCTTCACCAATTTTTTTAATCTATCAAATGGAATCCATTCTATCGCATATTCATAACGCCAGGTTCTAAGTTGGAATTCTTTCATGCAATCATCAATATCTTTATTTCCACTTGTCCACCTTGCAGTTTTAAACTTTATGCCGAATGTAAATAATTTTATACTCACTGACTTAAATAAATTAATGTGAATGAAATGATTTGTACGTAATGGTATAAAAGTATTTATGAACTTGTGAACGAGTTTTGCTGTTTTTATGTAGTAAAATTATTAAATGTTCTTTATACTCATTAACTAAATAAATTAATGAGAATGAAATGATTTGTATGTAATGGTATAAGAATTAATGATCTTGTTTTGTGATCGAGTTTTTGCTATTTTTATGTAGTAAAATTATTAAATGTTCTTTATACTCACCTACTAAATAAATTAATGCGAATGAAATGATTTGTACGTAATTGTATAAGTATTTATGATCTTGTTTTGTGATCGAGTTTTGCTATAAAATTATTAAATGTTATTTATACTCACAGACTAAATTAATACGAATAAAATGATTTGTACGTAATATTATAAGTATTTATGATCTTGTTTTGTGAACGAGTTTTGCTGTTTTTATGTAGTAAAATATGTTCAAAAAATATATATATATATGTTAATAATAGTGATGTAAATTAGTAATATAAATATATTAAATAATATTGTATATTTTTTATTGTATATTTTTATTTTTATTGCTTTTCTTATTTAAAAGTAATAAAAACTCATAATTAAAGTGTTCAAGTTTTTTTTATTGAATATTACGTAGTGATATTGTCCAATAGCTAAAATCAGATAAATACAAAGGTTAACAGGTAAGCCAAAGTATAACAACCCTAGTCAAAAGGCCAGTTTTATTCGTATAACAAAAATAAATTACATGATAAAATACAGTGAAAATATTCTGAAAATTTGTACATTTAGGAGTTACCAGTTTTAAAATTCAAAATTTGAATTTATGTATGCTTTAATTTTAACGTTCTCTTGTAGTAAAGTTATTCTTTTTTTTTTAATATAAAATAATTTATCGAATGCTCTCAAATAGAGAACTTATTTTTTTAATAATAATGTCTTAAAGGTTCTCTGAGAACAAATAAATTTTAATCATGTGTAGCTTATTACGGTTTCTTACTATGTGTAATTATTAAATTAAATTTGATTTTTGTTAACGATATGCAGTTTTTAAATTAACAGAAAGCGTAATTTTCGCTACGATGTGCATTATGTCATTACTTTATATAAAAGAAATACTTTAATTTGAAAAAAATAAAACTAACGATCATAATATGAAACCGAAAATATGATTTTATTTCCGAGGATTTGATGTATCAATTTTTAGTCAAAAAACCTAGATGAAATTATTAAAAAGGTGGCTGCCAGAATATATCTGTTATTACTAAAAATTAATAACGCACATTCGAATATTAGGTTTCATTTGGTTTTCGGTTTTAGAAACACTCCTAACAATTCACCCACGACCGAGCGACCGAAGGAAAGACCACAAATAAACCGACAAAACGATGAAGCGCCACCAAAACGACGAGGGATGCACCACCAGAACAACGAAGGAAGCATCATCAAACCGACGAAAGAAACGCCACTAGAACGACGAAGAAAACACAAAGAAAGACCATTATAACGACGAAGGAAACACCACCAAAACCGACGAATGAAATCCTACTAAATCGACGAAGAAATCGCCACTAAAACGCGAGAAACATGTCACAAAACGACGAAGAAAGCATCGCGATAAAAATAAAAATAATGCCGATGTGTTAGTAAATTAATATGAAATCATACACTTGATCACACACTCATCCTACACCGCTAAAATATATATGGGGTTCGTCAGTAGAAAAGTTTTTAGTAACTTTTTTAAGAATTTAAATTCAGATTAGTAGCTGTTAAAATATTTTAATTTAATGTTTAAAAAACTTTTCCTTAGAAACTTTTCTACTGACGAGCTCCCATATATTGGTTTGAGAGCTTTTAATTGCATATTGCTCTTAACCGTTTTTAAAAACTATATAGCTATAATATGAAGCTAGAGGTTATAATCGAGAGACCTTTGGCCTACAATCAACATATTTAACTTTGACTTTCAATATATTTAACTTTGACTTTCAATATTAGTTTCTGTTTACAATTATACTTAAGAAGCATAAAGGCTACTAAAAACTTCCCTGCTCCGAATTTTCTTTTATAACGTCAAAAGAACGGCTAGAACCATTAAAAAAATTACGGGTTGTTTATGTTCTTCGCTGCCAAGCGCATTAAAAGGGGTGAATTCCAACAGATTTGCTGCAAAGTACTTAAGAACGAAAGACCAACCATATTGTTTGCGATAAGAAATTTAGATATATTTATAGCTTTAGGTATGTAGTAATATAACTATAGACATCCTAATTTGGAATTCAACGCGAAAACACAAACATAGCAGATATTTTGATTTGATTAGCTAATAAATGTAAACAATATTGTATTGTCACATGATTATTAGCCAATCAAATCTCGAATGTCGAAAGAAATGAAATTAATTAGACCTATTCAAGTAAAACGATTATGTTTATTTTATTCATTAATTTATATAGAAGATTTCATAGTTTAAAATACAACAGGACAGCATATCAATTAACCAAGAAATTAAATTCGTATGGTTTAATGCCTTGTGCGAACTTGATTTTATTTGCATTAATTTAGTAAATTCAGAGTATTTAAAATAAATTCTGGCCCATAACCAATATAATTTGGCCTGAAACTATGTAATAACTTTTAAGCGGTTAAACGGTTTCAATTCATGTCACGTTCTCAAATATTAAAAAAGTAGTTAACATACTAGAAATCAAAACTCCTTTAATTTCAATGCTGTAATTTAATGCAATCTGTAATAAAATTACATCATAAAACAGGGGCGCCAGTGGCGCCCCACCTAATAAATAAAAAAAAAACGGTAAATTGTATCCATTTTTTTTATTTTATTTTTTCATCAAAAATGTCAAACCCAATTATTTAATAAATTGGATTTCTCAGATTGTCAAAAATCAGCAGATACGAACGATCCGGACGGAATTTTTCGGTTTGGATATTGTTACGAACATGGAATTGGAGTTGAAAAGGATGAAAACAAAGCATTCTTGCATTATCAAAAATCAGCAGACATGGATGATAATTCTAACGGAATGTATCAAGTTGGTTATTGTTATTATTTAGGAATTGGAGTTGAAGCTGATAAGCATCAAGCGTTTTCATATTATCTGAAGTCTGCCAAGGAAGGGAATTCTAATGGAATTTGGAAAATGGCTATTTGTTACTTTTAGGGAATTGGCGTAGAAGAAAATTATGATAAATTTTATGAATGGAATGAGAAGTAAGTTGATTTTAATTTTAATTTTTTGTTTTAGTTTATTTAAAGTAGATCTCTCAATTTTAATTATTAGAGAGTAAGCAAAAAAAAAAAAACCATTTATTACGAATGAATTATTAATCTAATTAATTATCAAGAATTATAAATAAATTTATTGTTAGTTATTTTAGCCTGTAAGTATAAAATAACATTTAATAAATAATTTTACTACATAGAAACAGCAAAACGAGTTCACAAATAAGATCGATCATAAATAAATAAATACTTATTTATATCATTACGTATAAATCATTTCATTCACATTAATTTATTTAGTGGGTGAGTATAAAGAACATTTAATAATTTTACTACATAGAAACAGCAACTCTTTCACAAAACAAGATCATAAATACTTATACCATTATGGACAAATTATTTCATTCGCATTAAGGATGGCAAATGTTTTAAAACGTGATCTTAAAAAAACATGTTTGTTTGATTTAAAACTGTTAAAAATTGTTTTATTACATTATGACGTAATATGATCCGAACATGATCCGAATTGCATAATTTAATTTATAATATTATGATTATTAATATCGATATTCAAAAATAAAGTAATCGATATTCAAAAAATAAATTAACTAGTATTCAAAAAATAAAAATTGTTATTCAAAAAATAAATTAAATAAAAAAATTTTCAAAAATGTCTTATGTTCGCGGAAGACCTCCTCTAAAAGAAATCTGGTTGAACTTTACAAAAGTTGCTGAACCTGATAAACATGGTCAAAAAACACCTCACCAAAAATGCAATTATTGCGAAGAAGACTGTGTTTATTCAGTTGACCAATTAAAAGGTCATTTATTAAAATGTAAAAAACTTCCTAGAAATATAAGATTCATTAAAGATTCAGGATCTGGATTCTAGTTCAAATAATAATATACAATTAGATAAATTGGATGTGGATAGTATATTAGCAAGGTTTTTTTATTCAGTTTGTATTCTTTTTACAGCTGTTGAAAATCCTTTCTGGGAAGAATTTATGGAAGCCATACAATATTATATTAAAACTGTATACCCATTTTATATTAGTCCTAATTAGTGTAATTTGGTAAATAATTTACTAGATTCAGAATATTAGGTTGAACAGCAAAATTTGAATACTATTTTAAAGGAAGTAATGAATATTACATTAGTTTCTGATGAGAGTAGCAAATATTCAATGAGAATTGGTCATAAATTTTATTTTCTGTTTTTCAAAACTGATTTTTTATGATACTATATATTCTGGTTCTGAATTCCATACTGCAAAATATATATATCACAAGTTTAAAACAATAATTGAAATTATTAGTCTTTCTAAATTCACTGATATTGTTACAGATAATGCTAGTTTTATATGAGCTGCTTGGAGATTACTGAATAAAGATTATTCTTAATTGGTTTGTTTAGGTTGTAGTACATATATTAGAAATCTTTTAATTAAGGATATACTGAAACTTGAATAGACAGACAAATTAATCAACTATGTGAAACAAGTTATTAATTTTTTTCAAACATATCATTAAGCAAAATTAATTTTATTAAATTAACTAGAGACAGTTATATTAGTTCAATCTGTTAAAACCTAATAAAAAACCTGTTTAGATGCTATCAAATCTGTATTTCAATGCAAATTAGGAATTCAAATTGCAATTATTCAATCTGAGATTAGTAAAAAAATTGCACAAAATCTTTGTGATCAATTATTAAATAATTTATTATAGAATAAAATAGAAAAAATAGCTTCTTTTTTGATACCTTTTGTTAAGTTTATATGGTTATTTGAATCTAATGAGCTTTTACTTTTGTATATCTATTCTAAATAGAAACTACTTCAACAATCAGTTAATGCATGTAATTTAGAATTTGATTTTTTTTTTTTTTTTATTATTATTTATTTATAATATCAAAATAGGAAAAGAATTAGTACATTTGTATATTATAATAATATATATGTAGATCTAATATATATTTTTAAAATATATTGTTATTACTATGCTAGTTAGTTATCTAATATGATATTACATTCTCATTTTATATTTGTTAGCTAATTTAAAGCTAAGTTACTATTAACTATAGAAGAGGTTGAAGGAAACCTCTGTAGTTATAAAGAAATTGAGTTAAAAAAAATAGTTATATAAAGAAAAGTTTTGAAGTAGTAGTTTATAAATATAGTTATCTATATTAGAGTCAAAAAGAATATAGTTATTTATAGTATTTGAAGTTTGTAAAAAGTAGATAATTTTTGTTTGTTTTTTAGTTTTTTTGAAAATTCTATAAGCAGTTTCTTATTTGTATTGTTTTGGTTTCTGTTTTTTCAAATTTTGTTATTAAACTAGAGTAGTAAAGAGTTAGAAAGTTGTATAAAAAAATTAGTAATTGATTTTTTAAGTAGTATATTTGTTCAGTCAAAGTAAGTTGTTAGGATAGTTCCTTAGATTAGTAAGAGGAGTATATTTGAGAGTTTTGAGAGTTGTGATTTGATATAAAGATTTGGAGAATTGTATGAGAAAATATGTTTATTATATTTAGTATTTGGAGCTGTTCAGTTATATATTGTTATAATAGGTTAAGTAAGTTAATTGAATGCAGAGTACAGAAGAGTAGGTGTTCAGTATTTTTATACTGGTTATAGAAGAAGCAATTAGGTATAAGGTATAGGTTTGAGTATTGAATATTTAGATTTACTATAGTTAGAAGGTTGTTGAGAAGTATTTTATTTCTGAGTGAGTAGAGTTTTAGATTGTTGTTTTGAAAATTTATTATATTAATAAATTGAAGAATATTATATAGTTATAGGTTTTAGAGTATTTTGAGTTGTATGAGTTTGTTTAAAGTTTGAATTAAGAGTATATTTGTACAGAATTTATATATTTTAAATATAATAGATATTTGGTTCTATGAAAAGTATATGAGTAAAGAGAATTAATTAGTATTTAGTTGGATTTCTGGTTTATTAGTACCTTGTTTTGCAAGAAAGTTAGCAATATTGTAGAAAGAGTTTTTGAAGTATAATTTAGTTTTATGTATAGTGTATTATATGTTTTTTCTTTTTAATAAAGAAGTTTAATATGTGAATAATATTCTAGATATTTTGTTTAGTTTGAGTAGAGAAGTTGTAGAGTAAGTTGTTTTTGAGTATTTGAATTACAGAAAGATTATTTAAGTGAATATAGATTTAGAAGTTAGTTAGTAGAGTTAGAAATAGAAAGATAAATATTGAGAGTTCTGCTCTTGTAGAGTTTGGTGTATTTGAGATTAATGTGTTGAATTTGATATGAGTATTGTTTTGAAGTATCTATGTAATACCAGTATTAATATTTAGAGTTTAAAAATTTTAATAGATATATCTGTGTAAAAATATAAGTTGTTTGAATTTAGAAGTAGAATTTAATTGTAAAGATTTATAATTTGATTTTAATAAAGTTAGTTAGTAATTATATTTTGAATAAGGGATATATTAGATGATAAGATTGTTATTTCTGGTAGTATATATGTTGAAGGTATTGAGAGAAAGTAATATATTTTGTATAGAACTTTGATTTCTTGTTAATTAATGCTAAGTTTAAATTGTTAGTTTTCTTTTTGTGTTTTATATTTAATATTAATTAATTGGTTGTAGTTAATATGAAGTTGGTTTGGTGTAAGTAATATTAGTATTGAGTTGGTGTTTTGTAAGAGGATTTGATAAATTTGAAATGTTATTTGAAAAGATAGATAATTGGTGATTTTTCTAATTTTGTAATCAGTTTGAATATTAAGTAAAGACTAGTAGTTTTTTTTAGATTTTATAAAGTTATAAGATCTAGTATATTTATGAAAGAGTTTGTTAGTGAGAGGTTTATATTTAGTCAGATTTCAGAAATTGGAGTTGTTTTGATTTGGTTTGAGAGATTTTTATACTATTTAGGAGTTAGTCCTCATAGTAGTTTATAAATTCTAAAATATATATTTTTCTAAAAGAGTAAAAATTGGTTATTTGCTGTGAAGAGTTGTTTGATGAATAGAATTTGATTGTTTCTAAAACTTAGAATCATAGTTGTATTTAGTTTTGAAAAAAGTTGTATATGAGATTTAGTTGTTTTATTTAGTTGTTAGTTTGTAAATTAACAAGAGAAAAGTTGTTAATTGATATGTTGTCTTTATAAATAGATATAAGTTAGTTTATAATTGTAAAATTTAGAGTTTTCTATTAGTTTGAAAGAATAGTTTTCTTTGTTAAAGTAGGTTACCAGATTTTAGTTAACTATTTTTTTATATGAGCTAAAGTAATCTAAAATAATAGTATATTTGAATTTAGATATCTGTTGATGTTGCTACTATTTGTTAAGAGAGTAGTTTGATTTTAAATTAAGAGTTTTAGATTTAATTAATAAATAGTTTGATTTTGTATTTTACCTTATAATAGCAGTTACAAATTTGTTAGATCCAAGGTAAATTTTTTACTTAATATAAATTTTAAAAATTTAATATATATTAATTAATTTAATATAGAATCTGTGGAAGATTATTAAAAGCAAATGAACTTGAGATAGTTATTATTCTATATCTTGAAAATATTTATAATTTGAAATAGCTACAAATATAATTTATAATATGTATAATATTATAATATATTTAAGAATTAAAGACTAACTTTTTTTTTTACTATAAAATCATAAAATAGTAAATATAAATATTATTTTGAATTTTAACTAATATTAAGCTTAATTCAGGCTAAAATTCAAAATAATATTCATATTTACTATTTCAAGATTTTATAGTACTAAAGATTTATAGAATAATTCAAAAATATATTACTAAAACTAATGAATTTTCTAGACTATTACTTTGGGCTTTAGTTAATTATTTAAGTTTAATTAGTTGGTGTGATCAAATTTTTCAAATAAATTTCTCTTTGTAATTGAACTTGCCTACCAAGTTCTTTCTATTCTAGCTTCTTTAGCTGTTACAGAATATTGTTAGTCAAATTTCAGATTTATTCATAATAAAGATCATGTATGATTAGACAATAAACAGGTAAAAAAACTTATAACTGTTTATCAAAATTTGAGAATTTAAAAAGAAATTAAGGATGATAGTTGGTTTGATAATAATAATAATAGTAATAATTAATATAGAAAAAGTCTTCAAATAATTCATTCTCAAAAACTTATTTAATGATATTTAAATAATAGTAATATTTGCAAAATATATTTGCTTATAGGCAATTATAATTTAAAATCAAAAAAGTTGTATTTGCTAATAAGTGAAATTATATTTAAACTTGAAATGATCAAATTTCTTATTATTCTTTTTTTTTTTTTTGTTATTAAGGTGGCTTACATTGCCGAGCGAATTTTATTAGTTTGATATATGAGGTCCCACATG